TTAATATTCTTTCTTTATTCTGTATGCTAGGTGTTTATTATATGTCGAGGGGTCTTTTTTCTTAGGTCCAGCATATTTGGGGTTCGGTCTGCTTCTTGTACTTTCATGGGCATGTCCTTCTTCAGATTTGGAAAGTTTTCCTCAATGATTTTGTTGAATATGTTTGCAGCACCTTTGAGCTGAACTTCCTCACCTTCCTCTATGCCTATTATTCTTAGCTTTCGCCTTTTCATGGTGTCCCACATTTCCTGGATGTTTTGTGTTAAGGATTTGTTGGATTTATGATTTTCTTTGGTCAGTGAATCTATTTCTTCTAGTTTATCTTCTGCGCCTGAGATTCTCTCTTCCATCTCTTGAATTCTGTTGGTTATGCTTGTGTCTGTAATTGCCGATTTTTTACCCAGTTTTTCTATTTCCAGCATTCCTTCGGTTTGTGTTACCTTTATTTTCTCTATTTCACTTTTCAAGTCTTGAACCATTTCCTTTACCTGCTTAATTGTTTTTTCTTGGCTTTCTGTACTTTCCTTAAGGAATTTGTTCATTTCTTCCACTTTTTTGTTTGTTTTTTCCACCATTTCTTTAAGGGATTTTCTCACATCTTCTTTGAGGGCCTCTATCATTTTTTTGATGGTAATTTTTAAGTCGTTTCCTTCTGCTTCCTCTTCTTTGTTGTTGTGTTCTGTTCTAGTTGATGTAGATTCCCTAGATTCTGGTGGTGTCATGCTTGTCTTTCTGTTGTTAGGTGTTTTCTTGTATTGCCTTCTTCCCATAACTTCTTCCAGTAGGTGTTGGTGGGGTCTCCCCCTCTCTCTATGGTACTTCCCCGGTGGGCTTATGTGGGTCAGAGATTCAATATCTGTAGCTCTGTGTGGTCCAAGGTCTCTAGGAGGTCTCTCCGCAGACAGAGACCCAGGGATGGGGTCAAGGATGAGGATCCAGTAGAAGATGCCAGCAGGAACTCACAGTGGTCCTGCAGAGATAGGCAGATCTCTGGGAGGGGCCTGGGACTCAAGCTGAGGACTGGAGGTAGGGGTCAGAGACCAAGCAGGTTGAAATTATGGGTGGTCCTGCGTGGATAGGCAGGTCTCCTTTGTGCAGAGTTGCTCCGAGAGGTCTCCGAAGTAGGGTGGACTATTGGCTCCACCCTCTGTCCCAGTGCTCAACCATAGCAGCAGGACTGTGGGCAGGGTAGGTTACAGGGTAGGGGAGGGCAGGCTCGTGGTGGGGATTTATCAGAGCTCCAAGGGTGCTCTTGATGGGGACAGGAGACAGGAGCAGCAGGATCAGGGTCCAACCCAGGGAGTTCTGGGTGGGGGGAGAGGTTGTAGGGGAGAGGCAGCCCTGATTGGGTCCAGACTCACCTCTGGCCAATAGCTGGCGGAAGAGGACAAAGGCTGAGCTGAAACTTGGGAAGGTTTTGCAGGATAGTTGGATCTCACTGGAAACTGGAACTCTCCTGCTGAGGCCTCTTTCTTTAGCAGAGGCCTGGATTTGGGGGTCAAGGATCTTGAGGGCAGGAGCTCAGAGTGGATCCCCAGAGATAGGTGGAAATCTGGGAGGGGCCCTGGACTCCAGCAGAGGACTGGAGGTGGGGTCTGAGACCAAGCAGGTGGAAATTATGGGTGGTCCCGTGTGGATAGGCAGGTCTCCTTTGTTCAGAGTTGCTCCACGAGATAGGCAAGTCTCCTTTGAGGAAAAGTTTTGATTTTATCTGTACTTTTTATTTGTTCTTTTAATATTTTATCTTTTTGTTCTATCTACCGTATATTAACCCATTGCCTTGTAACTAGCTGGCTAGATTGTTCTTCCATTCCATAGGCTTTCTGTTCATTCTGGCAATTGTCTTCAGTACTATGAAGAAGCTCCTTATTTGCTGTAGTCCTCCTTGCTCTTATTTCCTGAGTTGTCCTATTCAGAAACTCATTTCACATCTTTATATCTTGAAATATTTTTTCCTAGTAATTTCACAGTTTCAATTCTTACCTTAAATCCCTAATACATTTTGTTTTGGTTTTAGTACAAGATAAAACAGAAATCTGGTTTCACCTTGTATATCTGGGCATCCTGCCTTACAGCTACCACTTGTTAAAGAGAATACCTTTTCTCCAGTGTGTTTTTGCCACCCTTGTGTAGAATCAGGTGGCTTTTGTTCTTCATTTGGTCTGTGTGTCTGTTTTTGAGAGAATACCATATTCTTCTTGACTTTGGCTCTATAATAATGAGTTAAGTATTTTGATGCTTTTACAATTGCTAGTTTTATTCAAAAATGCTTTAAGTATTCTGAGTCTGTTGTGTTTCTATCTAAACTTCTTAATTTTTTTCAATCTCCAGGAAGAATGTTGTAAGAATTTTGATGGATATTCTACTTAAGTTTGCTTTTGATAATATAACCACTTTAAAATTAATTCCATCAATCCATAAACATGGGAGGTCTTTAAATTACTTTCCTGAAGTCTTCCATGTCTTGGATTAGATCAATACCTAATTTGTTCATTTCATCTCCTCCTTTTATCTAATGGTTTTGTTGTTTGCAACTGTTGATCCTACAGACTTCTGCTTTTCTACTTTACCACATTTGTATTGGAGCCAAAACTCTCCGGCTGGGGAATTATATTATTTTCCTAAATTTTTTCTTCAGATTATATTTACATCATTTCCTCTGTCCTTCCTCCAAACCTGCCCATGCGCTCCCACCACTTGCTCCCTATACTTTAAATTCATGACTTCTTTTTCCTTTGTTATTATATATAATAAATGTATTCATTAAAGGATAATTGTAGCATGGATAATATAAACTCAGAGACAGATTTTGGGGTTCAAGCTGAAGGTCAGAAAAGCAAGCATCCAAACCAATAGAGAGTTCTTACCTCTACCAATGAGTAGACTGAAGGGGGGCAAATCTGTCCTCAGAGTGACTACAGACTGCATTGCTCTCCCTCAAACCTCAAACTGCACTGAACTCCTGTATCCTCCCACTTTACATTCCTCTCTAGTGCTAATTTGAAATCATTGTCTTATGCTTGAACTATACTGAATATTTCAGGGCATACTGTAATATAGTTACTGGTTTCTAGTCAAAGCATGTTGTCTGTTAGTGTGCATTTTTGCAGTGGTGTCTAGGCATCTAGTATAATGGTGATTGGGGTATTTCTAGATGCTAATGTCTGCTTTTGTCGTTATCATATGGACATTTTTGTTCTTTGGATGCTGTTGTTCTCTCGGGATCTTACACATTTTGTTGACTATGTGGTCCCTGGTATAAAGTGTACTGCAAGTTGTTGGATGGCATGGAATAGAGAGTGCTAAAAGGCTGAGAGGAACTTTGGGAAAGAGCTAAGGGGTTCCTGTCCACAACAAAAGGCTAGATACCCAAGGAGTTGGAGGTGGAGAGCAGATTCTCCTGTAAGTGGGTTTTAGTATGTATGACAAAGGACATGTCTTGAGAGACAGCGATGAAAGGACTAGGTAGATCCTGGATCTGTATCAAAAATTGAAGTCTCTATTGAATGGTATTGAAGTGGGAGGAAGGGCACATGGAAGCAGGCTTCTATAGGATTAAGATGAAAAGATCATAATGGAAGACAGGAAAGAGAGTAAGAATTTTTTACCTGAGTACCAGTCAGGTGTTGCCACCAGGTGTCCTTCAGAGAATGTTTCTAGGTGTCAGCAGCTGACACAGGAATAGGGAAGGGCTAGAAGAGAGGTTTGATAGGGTTCAAAGAAAAGAGCTAAGCTGGGTACCTATTAAGATGCAGTAGTGCCCAGGGAATGGAGGTATGGTGAGAGGAGGGCATATAAAAGCCTGCTGCTACTAGAGGGACCATAATAAAGGGCAGGGAAGGATAGTGAAAATTGACTACCTGACTCACACATGGTGTGACCCCTCAAGATCCCAGGTAGGTAGCGTTTCTGGATATTTATAGCCTCCAGTTCCCATTCTTAAACTGGTAATCTACCTTTAATACTCTAGCACAAATTATCCAAATTATTCATGGTCTAAAGTAATAGATTTAACAAATTTTATATTTAAAATCTACACCATTTCTCGTTTTGTTTATATTTTTAGAATAGTGATAATGAATCATATCAGTCATCAACATATGAATTCATAAATATAACCTAATACCCAAAGCATTTATTAAATATTTACTATTTCAAGCTGCTGAGTAACTTATAAACATTATCTTACTTAATCATCAGAGTAACCTGAGAAGCCAAATGCTATTTTTGTCCTCAATTTTCAGATGAAAAAAAAATGTTGCTGGGAATGACATATTCATCAGTGTCCTAGCAAAAGTGAGATAGCACATTTAAATAAGTAGTTCAGATTTTTAATAAAGGCAAACATATTTATACTGAATTTAGAGAAAGCAGGAAGGCAATGTTAATTTCTGTGGGATTAATAAGCAAAAATACCCTTACTGTTCGAAATTGAATTTGACAAAAAGGGATCCTGAGAATTCAAGGAACTCTATCGCCATACATAGAAAGAGCTACACATGTAAGAACAGAACTATGGTCTGTAGATGAGGGACACATCTAACTTCTGATGAACTGAGGGAAATAAATAGAAACCTTGTTTTCCTTGCTCTCATGCCTGGCCCTGATGTCTGGAATAACCAAACTGGAAATCAAAGAGCACAAAATAGCTACTTGATAATGTCAAAAGAAGTCAGAAGCAGAGAAGATGAAATGTTGAAAAATGAAATTTAAAAATCTAGGAGTGTCTTACTCAAGAATTCAAAGTACTAAATGGCAAAATCAGTTATTGAGTAACATATTTTCTCCTAACCACAATGCTGGACTACTATAATTTTTGTCAGAAAAAATTATAAAGCTAAAAATATCTGAATCAAATATTACATCTGCTTATATATGTGACACCAACTGTATGAGAACTGAATAGCAAAGAATGAAAAAAATCAAAAACAAAGATGTGAGTGCTAATTTTATATGCTGTGGCCTTTTCATAATGTTAAACTACAGTCATTCTTGTTTAGATTCCAGATTCCATCATTTCTCGTGGTGTTCAGGTGCTCCCACGAGACACAGCCTCCCTCAGCACTACTCCTTCAGAATCGCCCCGTGCTCAGGCTACATCTCGCCTCTCTACAGCTTCTTGTCCAACACCAAAAGTAAGTGCAGGTCCTTGCATCTTATGTGTCTCTCCTATGAATTGTGAGAAGACTAACAAATATTTTCCTGCTTGTCAACGTTGGATTGCATGCAAAATACTGGTAAAAATGAATGGAATATATGATAGCTACCACCTGTTGTTTTATAGATTATCTTATTAAGATAGTAGGCGTGTATACAATATGCCTGTTCTTACATCACAGGTAAAGATACCACTTTCTGTAAGTTGCGTTTCTTTGTGATAGACCAATTATTTTTTAGGAAATTTATCAATGTTGGTATAAAAATAAATTATTCTGAGGATGAATGTATTTTTGGCCAATAATCAGCAATATTAACAAAAATAATACAACAAATGGGGTTATTTTTATTTATTTTTTTTTTCTTTTAAACTTCAGGCTTGGATACTTACCTGCTCTAATATCATTCTGAAAAAATTTTCAAACAGACTTGACTTGGAATATTGCTGCCTCTTATTTGGAAACAAAACTAAATTTGTTAGAAAGAAAGTTTTAATGCCAACCTTTGGGAGAAGGTGGGAGTTTCTTAGTTTTTATTTTTTTATAGTCTGCCCCTGAATTGTGGTGGAGGAAAGATAAGCACTATTTAATACCTCATATTTTGCGTGTAAGATAAAGTAATGACCAAACTTACATACTGTTTCCCTACCTTCTGGAATATCTCCTCTGTGTAAAAATTACTCACTTGTTCTTTCAAGTTCTATTTGTGAAGAAACCAATATTGATATTAAATATTAATTTCTTATTTAATGTGACATTGTATTAGATATCAAGCTATATACTAAATTTGTCCTAAGATTGTGATCATTTTTCATACTAGCCTTTTTCCCCATCATCAGATTTGAAATCAAGTCTAGCTTTCTCCTTCAAATACAAGTATTCTACCAGTTTTATGAGATAAATTTATTTGACTAGAAATCATCTCAAAATTGTTGATGTTATAATGTGTGTAGTTTTTTCTTTACATTTTACAACAGATGATAGAATATTCTTAGGTAAATCTTCATCATGTTACTATTATATTTGTATATCATTGTATTGAGATAGGTGTCAAAAGAAGTAACAATGTTAACATTTTAAAATTGAGGTTGTAAATCTTAAGAAAAAAAACTGTGAAGACATTCTAGCCATAAAATATATGTTAGTGTTACTTGGGTGTCAGCCACATTTTACATTTTATCATATTAACTAAATAAAATAATCTATGATCTTGACTGCATTAAATTCTTAGTATAGATGCTAGACTAAAACTTAAGTTGGCTGAAAGGTGTTTTAATCTACCACATATTAAGACCTAACAGCTAAATATGCAAAACTACTAAAAACACAGTATATTTTTTCCATTATTGTCAATGTGCTATAACATAAATATGTTTGAAAAATACTTTAGGCTAAATATAATTACATGAAATTGTTCTTAGGTCTCAAAATGTCCTTTTTACAAAGAGGATAGCTAGTATCATTTTGAATCACTTCTAATTTCACCAAAGTAAAATTCAAATTATGTGTTTATGAAATGAATGTGCTTATTCAATGACTTTAATCAAGCAAGTGGCTTCTTTTGATGTTGTTATTAGTTGATATTTACATGTTCAAAGTGATCATAAAAAATAAAGTACTACCTTTCAATCTAAAAAGAAGATACTATTTTATAAAATTTTCCCAGTAGTAGGATGTATGCCTTAAAGTTACAGTTATTAGCTTGGCCTAGTATCTTTTGCCTGTAATTCCAGCACTCAAGAGATGAGGCAGGAGGATCACAGAAGTTTGAAGTCAATATGGGGCTCTATAGTAAGTTCCATAACAACCTGGGATACAAAATAAGAACATATCTCAAAAACACAGAGAGGGGAGGGGAGAGCAAGAAGAAAGTAGATGGTGGAGGGAAGGAGGGAGGGAGGGAGGGAAGGAGAAAGAAAGGAAGGAAAGAAGGAAGGAAGGAAGGAAGGAAGGAAGGAAGGAAGGAAGGAAGGAAGGAGTATGCCAGGAATCAGAAAATAAAATTTTGCCTTTGTCTAATTTTTGAAATAAAATTTGTGTGAGGTTAAAATACTAACATAATAAACTATTTTGGATATTAATATTTAAAAGGAATAATGATTAAAATAAGATCTCTCTAAAGACAAATATTTCAATAGGGATACGAAGAATGAGTGAAAGTCAAAAATTAATTTTTTTCTTGCATATGCATTCTAAAAGTCATGTTTACCAGTAATGACCACTTTAACAACATTTGTTACTATTAAGAACTCTCAGTAAATGTGTTCATTATTACATGAGTTTCCTTAATTTGGTATTCTGATGGGATGTCTTCTATACATATGTTTCTCTTATTGTTGATGAGTAAAACACTGTGGCCAATAGAGCAGCAAGATCGGTGGGACTAGGAGATGATGAGAATTCTGGGAGGTGTAGGCAGAGGTAGAGTCATCATGTGAGCCCAGGGAAGAGAGGATGTGAGACATTCTCTTGTAAGATAAGACTGTGGAAATACATAGATTAATAGAAATGAGTTAATAATTAAGACAGTGCTAAGAAATAAGAAGCCCTAGCCAACAGCCAATAGGATTATAATAAATATAAGTCTCTGAGTGTTCATTTGGGGCAAGGGTGTTGCAGGACCAGGCTTGTTGGAAAACCATCCATAACAGTATTCAGCATCTGTTTTCAAACATGCTGATTTTTAGACATGACTTCCCAATGCTCATCCTGTTTTCCCCCAAGTTAAGTTTCAAGACCATAGATAGATGTTAGCTTTTAACTCTGTCCTGAATAAAGTGTTTATTTTAATTCTGTATCATAATAATCTAGAACAGAAATGAAGATGAAAAAAGACAGATTCTTAAGTTACTAATTTAAGGTACAAGGTAGATGTTAATATTAACTGTATTAGGGCATAAAAGAAAACTAATTTTCAAGGTTTTTTAAGGAAAGAAATTGCATTTTGACTTGATGTGTTCAATAAGAGGTATTTGTGAAGTATGCAAGAAGTGCTATTCTGTGTGGAACTGAAAGTACATTTAAATTTTCCATTCCTGTTTTTACTGCCTTTTAGATGTAATATTTATAAGTTTGTGCATATTATTCAACTCTATAGAAATCATCTTTCTATGTTTCAGATTAAGCATGTATCATAAATGTATCACATAAAAATATATGCTCAAATGAATTTTTTGTATCAGAAATACCACATAATCTTGAATGATCATCTTTAGAAAGAGCACTTGACCCTGGTAAGAGTCAGAGTAAGAGTATGGATTCCAATACTTACTTCTCTCTTTAAAAGTCTCACTAACATTAAACAAGATACTAAATATTTTTTCAGTTTTTTGTCTATTTGAGACTGGCTTTGCCTATTTGTAAGAAAGGAATAATGAGCCAGTAGACAATATTTACTGCCTTTGAAAACATAAGTGGCTACTACAAATTAAAATTTAGTACAATGAAATGTTATGGTTCCCTAACAGAAGTACAAAATAATTTGAGAATTATCTTCAGATTCACTCAAGTGATTGTTTATGGAAACTTGTATGAAAGATTTGGGATATAGCTCAATAGTATATTTGTCTAAGATGTTCAAGACTTTAAGGTGCACCCCCAGCACCAGATAAACGAAAAGCCCTGGTAGCACATATCTGTAATCCACACTGTGGGCATATGACAGGAGAATTTTGAGTTCAGGACCAACCTAGGCTACATAGCAATACCATCTCAAATAATTAAATAAAAATGGTGATGAATATAAGAAACCTAATAATTTTATTCTGTAGGGTTTTTGGGTTGTTTCACTAGATTTTAATACTGAATAAGATGAAATTCTTTCTGTCCTTTACATGTGAGCACTCATTTCTCTAGGTAATGGCAATGTCAAACGTTGAACATTTTGTGTTTATGTGTATTGCATATTATATCTTTGTCTAAGTTTTGCTCCTCTAGGATTCTTCTGTCTATCTATAAGAACAAATTCACTGGGTAAAATACAGTCTTATTTTTGCTTTAGTTGTTCTCTTTTCACAATCCAATGATGATAGTCAGATATTAAAATATAGCAATTGTTCATTGAATGTAATTCCCACCATGAGATATTTATTGGGTCAAATATTTTAATATTTTCTTTTCTTTTTTTTTTTTTAATTTGACTTTTCAAAACAAGGTTTCTCTACCTGGCTGGCCTGGAACTCACAGATATCTGCCTGCCTGTCTCTCAAGTACTGGGATTAAAGGTGTGTGCCACCACTGCCCGGCTTAATATTTTACTTTCATCAGGAAAATATTTTTTCTTGGATCACATATTTTCTTACAATGAATTCTTACTGGAAGTAATGTCACTCTTTTTGCTTTGTGGTAATGTAGACAATTTTATAATAAAAATTTGGGGGTTTTGTCTTTTGTTACCCCTAAATGAAATCATGTGTAAGTCAAATGAAATGAAATGGTAAATTGATTCTAAAGAAATATGTCCAATATTTAGAGCACTCAAGTTCTACCATGATGATAGTCTTCCAAAAAGGGTTTAATAAAAGATTAAGGCTGTAGCAGAGAACTTCTCTTACAAACATGATTTATCACTAAGCTCAGTGTTGATTTGTTGATTTTCAGTTATGACAAACAACAAAATCTATAAAAAAAGATGGGGAAAATCCAAAAGAATATTTTAAGGACGGATTTTGTTATCTTTTCCTTTTCCAAGCACCTTAATTTTAATATTTTTACAAGGTAATGTAGATTGTAGTCATCTATTCTCTGTTCCATATAAATTAAAAGATAATGTTATGATTGATAGGAGAAAAAAAGAATTTATATAAAGAGTTATCAGGAAATTATCTTGTTATGCTTATAAATAAAATGTAAACTTAATATCTAACTGAATAATTTATGGAGTTATTTAAAAATATATAATTGAAATCTTTTCATAAAAGCCCTTACTTTAATATATTAGTACCTAATCTTACATTCAAACAAAATAAAAAATTAGGACT